TTTGTATGAGATTGACAGTGATGACTCCGGTGTTGGACACCATCCGAGGGGCCCAGGCTGAGGCCGTGAGACCGGAGAACCGCAAGAGAGAGCGGGTTATCGGATATGTATCGGAGTTTGTTACCGATAGCAGAGGGCTTATGACCTTCCAGGGTCGGATCTGGGTGCCATTTGTGGGCGGGGCACGTACCATATTGATGGAGGAGGCACACCGATCGAGGTTTTCGATCCATCCCGGGGCCACTAAGATGTATTTGGACCTGAAAAGAGATTATTGGTGGCCCTGTATGAAGAGGGATGTAGCATGGGTTGTTGAGAGGTGCTTGACCTGTCGCAGGGTTAAGGCCGAGCACCAGAGGCCGCATGGTAAGTTGCAGCCGTTGGAGGTTCCCGAGTGGAAGTGGGAACATATTACCATGGATTTTATCACCAAATTGCCAAGGACTGCGAGGGGCGTCGATGCAATTTGGGTGATTGTGGACAGGTTGACGAAGAGCGCTCACTTCCTTGCTATCAGTGAGAGCTCCTCCGCTGAGAGGTTGGCAGAGTTGTACGTGAGGGAGGTGGTATCACGGCATGGAGTGCCGATCTCGATCGTCTCAGATCGAGATGTGCGTTTCACTTCCAGATTCTGGAAGAAGTTTCATGAGGAGTTGGGTACGAGGCTACATTTTAGTACCGCATACCACCCCCAGACAGATGGGCAGAGTGAGCGGACGATTCAGACGCTCGAGGACATGCTTCGGGCATGTGTGTTGGATTTCGGAGGGAGTTGGGACACATACTTGCCCTTGGCTGAGTTTTCCTATAACAACAGCCATCATTCGAGCATCGGTATGCCACCCTTTGAGCTGTTGTATGGGAGGAGGTGTCGGACTCCTATTTGCTGGGGTGAGGTCGGGCAGCGTGTGATGGGTAGTACAGAGATAGTACTTCAGACGACTGAGCAGATTCAGCAGGTCAGACAGAGGTTGTTGACCGCTCAGAGCCGCCAGAAGAGTTATGCGGACAGACGTCGCTCGGGGCTTGAGTTCCAGGTTGGTGATTTAGTACTCCTGAAGGTATCTCCTTGGAAGGGGGTGATCCGATTCAGGAAGAGGGGTAAGTTGGGACCTCGATATATTGGTCCTTTCAGGGTGACTGCCAGGGTGGGCAGGGTAGCGTATCGTTTGGAGCTACCTACGGAGTTGAGCCAGATTCACGATACCTTCCACGTGTCTCAGTTGAGGAAGTGTATCGCTGATGAGTCGGCAGTGGTTCCGTTAGAGGACATTCAGGTGGATGCGAGCCTGAATTATGTTGAGAGACCGGTTGCGATTGTGGATCGAAGGATCAAGACTTTGAGAAACAAGGAGGTGCCATTGGTTCAAGTCCAGTGGCAACATCGGAAGGGTTCTGAAATGACCTGGGAGCCGGAGTTAGAGAAGCGCGAGCAGTATCCAGAGTTATTTGTGGAGTGAGACTTCGAGGGCGAAGTCTGATTCTAGTGGGGGAGAATTGTAACATCCGGATTCCCAGGTATCTTAAATTATGTATTTTATTGAGTTTTGGAGAGAGACTCGGCGAGTAGGCGCTCAGACTCGCCGAGTAGAGTCGCGAATCTCCATCCGGGTTAATGACTGGACTCGGCGAGTCCACGCTGTTTAATGAAACCCTAATTTCTCGGGTTTGGGGACTATTTAAAGGCCCTTATGGCCGCCATTTGAGGTCACCAGTCATAGAGAGAAACCCTAGAGTGCTTGAGCGTTTTGGGAGAGGAAGGAAGCCATTTTTTTTGACATTGGGAGTGTTGTTTAGCAAGAAGAAGGAGGTACTAGCCAAGAGGAAGCATAGGAGATTGCTATTCTGTGGATTTAGAGCTAAGATCTTCACATTTGAGGTAGTAATTCGACTCCCCTTCTGTTCTTATGATGATCATATGGATTTAGGGTTTCTTAGACCCTTTGTTGCTTAGATTTGAAGCCCAAATAGTCCCTTATGATGAGGAGGCTTTGGATCTGGATCCATAGAGGTCCAGAGAGCCTTATTCATTAAGCTTTTTGAATAACAATGGAGGCTATGACCTTGAGTTATGGTATTTGGGGCTAAATCATCATATATGATCAAATAGATGTTGTATGTGCATCAAGATGGAAACTTTACGTGGTTATTGGGTTTGGGAATGATAGATCTATTGGTTAGAGGACTGGATCTGACCTCAGGAAGTTGTTTGAGGATGTGCATGGAATGAACTCGCCGAGTCCATGAACGGACTCGACGAGTAGAGTCGGGTAGCCCCGCGACTCGCAATCTGTGACGACTCATGGAGCATAGGGTTGACTCAGTGAGTCGGAGGGAATTAGAGGACTGGAGTTCAAGGCGGAACTCGCCGAGTCCATGAACAGACTCGGCGAGTTGATTCGGGGTGGCCCCGCGATTCATGCCAGGTGTCACCCGTCGAGTAAGGGGAAAGACTCGACGTGTCATGCGAGATCAGAAAGATAGTGGGCACGTGTAGACTCGCCGAGTCGCCCAAGTGCACTCGGCGAGTCAGGTCAAAGTTTGACCGTTGACCTTTATTGACTTTTAGGGTTTGGTCAACTTTAGGGTCTTTGAGCCATGAGAGGGGTAAAATGGTCTTTTACCCTTCTGAGAGTACTAAGAGGAGGAATAGTCTAGCCTTGAGAGATGTATTGATTCATAGTGTTTATTTCATATGATTAGGCGGAGGCTAGACCCGACTTTACAGAGTTCGAGCTTTACCGAGTTAACCGAGGTGAGTCTTCTCACTATACTTTACCTAGAGTGGTAATTAGAGCTATGAGATAGAGTATTGTGTATGCTTTTGCATGATGTGATTTCTATGTGTTATATGCTATGTATGTTACAGAGTTTTCAGAGTTAGGACCGGAAGGTCCATAGAGTTAGGGTCAGAGGACCCATAGAGTTAGGGCCAGAGGGTCCACAGAGTTATGGGACTGGGGGTCCCACAGAGACACTTTGACCAGAGTGTCAAACAGAGTTATAGCCTCGAGTGGCTAATATGTGTGATATGTGTGGTATTTTGGGGAACTCACTAGACATTTATGCTTACAGTGTTGTGTTATGTGTCTCAGGTACCAGCGAGGATCGCGGGAAGGCGCCGGCTTGATCAGTACACACGCGGGGAGATTTTATTATGATCTTGGGAGATGATGTTATGTGATACAATGGTGTTTTTATAACGATTATGAATGAAAACGTGTTTTATAAAATGTGAAAAATTGTTTTGAAAATTTGGGTGTTACATTTCACCAGGATGATAATTATTCAAAAGATTCAACATACCTTCCAATTGAATTTCCTTCGTGCTTCCTTAAATAGGTGACACCATTTCCACATCCATCTACCACCATGAATTGACTTGTTGACCATAGCCCAAAGTGCATTTTGTTCATTTACAAGCCATCATCTCCACTTTTGAAGCAAGATATGGTTAAATGCCTCCAACACCTGATTCTAATTTATATTTTATCTCTACCAACTACAACCAATACCAATTTAAATCATTGCATCTTCATTTCAATCTTACCAACTCCAAAAAAAAAAATTGAAAGAATCCAAACACTTTTTAACTTTAACTGACATTGGAAAAAATTAACATATAATAAATTCAAATGAGCTAAGAAACTGAGGTAAGCAACATAGAGCGGCCCCCAACCGATAACATCTTCACCTTCTATTTAAATAGCTTTTTCTCAAATATTTAATTAACACTTTCCATCCTTGAACCCTAGCCAAATTAGATCCAACCGGAAGACCAATATAAGTAAATAGGAGCTTATTCGATCCACATCATGTGAAACTTTCCATATGAACTCCAATGTCATATATATTCGACTTCTGGATATTAATCTTGAGCCCATACGTCAAATGAAATCATTTTAAAACTCTGAATACTAACCGATAAATTTGACATCGACTCAAAAAAATATATTCCATAAGCTTAATATTGGCGTGCAAAGTGCAATTAATTGAAACTTTTATAAGATACACACGACACCTCATCACGTAATGGGTGCTCATTATAGATGATGTTCACTTGAAAGGGAAATACTTGAGAATGTTGTTCCTAGTCGTACTCGTAGGTGGAAAGAACCAAAATTTTCATATATCCTACCGAGTATGGAAGATAGAGGATGAGAAATCATGGACTTGATTTTTAATCAAAACTCCATGGAGCAATTGGTGTTTTGGAGGGCTTGACCATCATATTTGATAAAGCTAAAGCCATTCAACATACTATTAGGTGTGTTTACCCAAACAAACATCATGGATTACGTGTGTAAACATTTCCTAATCAATATTCGTTCGAAATGCAAGAAAATAAAGAGAAATGAAAACATATATTTGGATTCATGCAAAAATGTTTTGAACAGATGCTTCGAAGATCAAACAGTTAGACTCTACCATCTTTTACCACAAATATATGATTGGCTTGACTCTAATGGACATGAAAAATGGGCAAGATCTTGCTTCGTATGGGTGCAATATGATTTTATGACTTCGAACAATATGAAATGATCAATTAACGTGTCATGTATAATTGAGCGAAAACTATCAATAAAAATATTATGGAAAATTTCCAACTAACAATGCAACAATGGTATTTCGAATGGATAACTAAGGGACCAAAATAGTATCTATGTCTATACATACAAGTAGTTTTATAAAAATAAAAATAACTTATCGCTTTTATCCTTTGCAACAAAATTTCGACATGAAGTCACCCTTTGGTTGAGAACAAAATTGACGAAGAAAGAATGAAAGTCTGGCATGGAAGTGTTACCAGTGAAAAAAAATACAAATTTGTAGTATATGACTACTGCAAGAATGCTATTTTGATTGATAGGCAAATACTTGTACATGTAGGCCATGACAATGTATTGGTTTACCTTGTGATCATAACTTGTATTTTCTTAGGTAAATCACACTGTCAAAATTAGAATGTGCCCTGACTATTTAAAGAGTGCCACAGGATTATGTACCACAAGAGGGCGTGTCCTTTACCACCCTATATGAATTGGAACAGCTCGAAAAGGTAACAATTGTTAGACCACCTCTAATGGGCAAATGACAAGTTGGTTGCCATAAAGAGCACCCCCCACATACCATCTTAAGGAGAGGGTCTAATGTCCAATATAATGGGGTGTTTGAGATTGATTATTTAAATCAATGTATACTTATTTTTAAAATTATTTATTAGCTTATCCAGTGTCAAAACGGAGTTTTAGAAAAAAAATTGGATTTCCAGTATGAAAACGAAATAAGTTGATAAGTTATTTTTAGTGTTTTTCAAACTCTTATTTTAGGTGTAATAATAAGACAACTTATTAAAAACTCATTAAATAAGTCAATAAGTAAGAAGTGACTTATTAAAAACTTCTTATTTAAGTCAATAAGTGCTTTTGAATCTTTTTATCCAAACACTAAAAACTTCTTATTACCGGTATCAAACTAGAATAAATCAATAACCACTTCAAATAAACAATCCCAAAAACCCCTTAAAAAGATGCACTAGATGTCAACAATTGGACCATCATAGTCTAAATTGTCTATCTCCTTAGCCAACCAAACCATCAAATTTGAGTCTTAAGTAAGGACACTAAGGATAAGACTACCCAAAGTAAAGTTTATTATCCCATGTTTGATTCGATTGAATGAATGTTATAATTGTAAACTAAGTTATATATTGGATTGTTTATTGTATTAAATCAGATGATATGTCTAACTAACATTTACAACATAAGTTAAACACGTAACATATTAGTGACTTCTATAAATATATACTTAATTATATCTACGAACAAGGTTTTCAAAACAAAATTGAATCAGCTGAATTTTAACTATTTGTTCGTAACTTTTTATCTATTTTTCAACTTTTCTTGGTTTGATGAAAACTTTAACACAAACAACCTGACAATAACACAAACAATCTGACAATATGTTACAACATAAATTGTTTGAAAATTAATTTGGAACATATATTTTGTGAATTAGTTCATATTAAAATTTCTAAAATAATTCTTTTAATGAACTTTAAACTTGTTATTTTCATGATTTTCGAATTTCTTTTGATGATTTTTGAACTTTTTCTTTGATGATTTTCGAAATTTTCTAGCAAAATATCTAACATGTAATAACAAAATTTACTAAAACTCCTGAAAGTATTACAATGTATCGTCTTTCTATTTTTATTCGCCTAAGGTAAGGAAAAAAAAAGGAGTATTAGTTTCAGGTAATTATTATTAAAAAAAAAAACAAAATAAAATAGGCGAAACCTTTTGCCGAGAAATATCAGCCTGTTAATGTACTACGCGTGGCAGCACTGTAATGGTTAGGCTGTACCAGAGTTCTCAAGCATCGGCTGTACTGTAACGGTTGGTCCAGATATTTTGTTTCTGACATGTCAAGGGTAGTTCGGATATAAGCAGTTTCATTAGGGGTATTTACGTCTTTAAGACTCGCCGAAAACGACGGCCCCATTATCTCTTCCACCCACCTGGCGGTCCCTACTGATTCGTAAGACCTTTAACATATCCCACAGCGCACCACGTGTCCACTCAAATCGGATCTTTAAAGATCCGCGATCCGCCCCAAACTTACCCTAGCCCGTAAATTGATCTCCTCCACGCCATCCCCCTCCATCCTACATGTAATCCAACGTGTCGTCTCACGTGGCGCGTTATTGGCCCTCACTACCTCCATGTCATCACAAACAAATATAATATCTTCTTCTACTCTGAACCAGTAGAATGTAGATCATAAACACCCGTTGTTTTTCCCGACGACGTTTACAAACCCTAGATTTATGTTTCATTTTATATGATTTCCTTGAACTCAAAAATATTTTGTTTTTTGCATACTGTTGAATTTCTTCAGAATTTGTATTTACGGTAGTTGTTGTGCGGAGGATTTGACCGAATTTTGCGGATTTCAGATTTGAGTCAAAGATCCGTTCTTCGTATCTCCGTTATCAGCGTAAATGTAAGTATTCCTGAGAAAATGAGTCAAATGAAAGTACAATAAGGTTTTGGATCATTGTGGTGACCTTATTTTGCTGATAATTCACTTGGTTTTGAGATAAATGATGGATTTATGATCTGTTTAAAATGTTTTGGTTTCATGTAGATTAAGATCTGGGTGGAAATTTTATCATGTATCCGTGTAGTTTTATAATGAAACATGTACCCATCTGAGATGTGTATCAGGTTTGGTCTGGAAGTTCTGCTTTTCATTCTGAATCTGTGTGCTTTTAGGATTGGATGATGGTATGATTAATCCATCTGATTATATACCCCTTTTCTAGCACTTACGAAAATGGAAAAGAAATGAAATTGACGACAACACGAGGTTTCGTTTCCCATTACGCACGGTTTTAATGGGTTTTTTTTGTGACTGTTTTCATTCTTTTAGGCGTCTGTAATGGGTTTCTAACGGAGGTTTATTCCTTGGAGGCAACGGTATGTGCCACTTCTCTACAAAGAAAGAACTCATCTTGCTGTTGCAGACCTGCACCGTGTTCATAATTGGTCTCTTTGAATCTGGTTAATGAGGAGCGTTGGGTTGAGTACCAGTATTCCAGCAACAAAAGGATCGGCAGAACTTAATCACCATAAACGCAAGGATCTTAAAGAAGTGAGAAATGGAGCTGTATTCGATGGCCAAAGGCTGTCTGAAGAAGACGATTCCAGGATTAACGATGATGTCAATGGTAGTAGACGCATAGAGTTGCTCATATCCCACGATGCTGTTCAGAGACACCATCAACAACCACAAGGATCTCTGGTTCAATGGGAGAGGTTTTTACCCACCAGGTCTCTCAAAGTTCTCCTGGTAGAAGATGATGACTCAACTCGTCATGTTGTCAGTGCTCTCCTCCGTAATTGCAGCTATGAAGGTCTGTAAACTATTATATACCCAAAAAGAAACTTCTTTCATCACTTCATCTTGTTTCTTGAATTTTTTTTGACTTCAAATGAGTTACTCTGTTGCAGTTACTGCTGTAGCAAATGGTGTAGAAGCATGGAAAGTACTGATTGATCTCAACAAACAAATCGATCTTGTTTTAACTGAGGTAGTCATGCCGTATCTATCAGGAGTTGGTCTGTTGTCCAAGATCATGAACCATGCACCTCGCAAGAATATTCCAGTGATCAGTGAGTATCTTTCTTATTTTCATCGGAAATATCATCAACCATATTACTCGCTTTCACCTGCTACACCTAATATGTTTTCTTTGCAGTGATGTCAGCTGATGATTCTATGGGCATAGTCTTTAACTGTTTATCGAAAGGTGCAGTTGACTTTTTAGTCAAACCTATTCGAAAGAATGAGCTTAAAAACCTCTGGCAGCATGTGTGGAGAAAATGTCACAGTGTGAGTTAATTTATTTATTATGGTTTTGGACTTTGGGTTCAGGTGTGTTCTACTTTAGAATGTAGTAGTGCATTTGAATTACTTCATTTTGGAAATAAAACACTAGGGAACTAAAATATTTGTCTTCTTTTTTTGCATTAATTTGTTCTGTTTGCATCAGTCTAGCGGTAGTGAGAGTGAGAGTGGCATACGTGCTCCTAAACCTATCAAAGTGAGAAGTGATGATGTGTCGGATGATGGTGATGATGATGATGATGATGATGATGATGATGATGATGACAGGAGCATAGGTTTGACAGCTAAGGATGGAAGTGACAATGGAAGTGGTACTCAGGTATTATATCTGTGGTTACAATTGTTAGATGTGTATTTGCAATCCTTTTTTTGGTTATATAAATCAATCCTTTGTGTGTTATATTCATATATAAATGTAGACATTAATACTGTAAAGAGAGACAACTAATACATTTTTTATTATACAGAGTTCTTGGTCAAAAAGAGCAGTAGAAGTTGAAAGCGCAAAGTATTCATGGGACCAATTACCAACCTCAACCCCCCCTGATAGCACTTGCGCACAGGTCATCCGTACAAGGGCAGAAACGTCCAATAATTATCACCCAAAACCAGTTGCCACAAAAGACCATGCTGGCGAAGATGATAAAATAGGTAATAAACACATCATCATCATCATCATCACTTTTTGTCTATAAATAAAATTCACCATGCTCATTTTTATAAAATAATATAGCAGATACAGTTCTAATGGGCAAAGATCTGGGAATCGGAGTTTCTAGAAACTCAGGAAAATTTATCGAATCAAACTCCAAGGAAGAGAGTGAACAAAGGACCAAATGTATGACATTTGCCAAAGCAAATGACGTTCCTGCCCTTGAGCTCAGTTTAAAAAGACCACGTGACTTGGAGGATACTGATACAACAAGCACTCATAAACGAAATGTTTTAAAACAGTCTGACCTTTCAGCCTTCTCAAGGTATATTTGTCTTTATTTTATCTTCAACATGACAAAACATGTTGTACTGTGTTTAAAAGACGTAAATGCCCTTTTCATCTCAGGTATAATAACAACACTACATCAGAAACAGCAAAACCCGTGAAAATACAATCTAACTCAAACGGAGCTCCAAATCAACGTTCTAATGGCAGTAGCATTCACAATAACGACATGGGCTCAAGCACTAACAACGCGTTTGCCAAACCGGAACCACTTCCAGATGTAAAATCAACGCCGCCACCTGGCGACGGTGACACCACAAACTTCCAAGTCCGCCACCACCACCACCACCATTACCACCACCACCACCACCATGTCCACAAGACACAACCACAACAAAAAGCTAACCAGGAGGATGATGATGGATCTTCAAGAAACAAGGCGGTTGCACCTGTGGAAGGAGATGCTGCAAACTATGGAAGTGCATCGGGAAGTAACAATAAGAGTAATGGAGAGAATAATGGTGGAAGTAGTGGACAAAAGGGTGGTAGCTATGGTGGTGGAGGTGAAGGCGAAGGTGGCGATAATGGAGTTGTTGCTGAAAAGGGTAAAAATGGAAATGGAAGTGGAAGTGGAAGCGGAAGCGGAAGCGGGGTTGATAAAGACCGGTTATCGCAAAGAGAAGCTGCACTAAATAAGTTCCGCCAAAAGAGGAAAGATAGATGCTTTGAGAAAAAGGTACTTTTTGTTTTGGGCCCACATGTTACACAGTACAGCAGAACAACAGACTGTTTTGTACTGTGTTTTGGCATGTATTGGACTGAGATTGATGTCAATGGGATGGAAATTATAAGTTTTTGTCCCACCCAAAAAGGTGGGACAGGGACTTGTTCTTGATATCTGGTATGTGAAAAAGACGTAAATGCCCCTTGTTATTATTATGATGAATGATGTATATTGTTTGTTGTATTTGAAGGTGAGGTACCATAGCAGGAAAAAGCTGGCGGAACAGAGGCCAAGGGTCCGAGGGCAATTTGTCCGACAAGAGGTGAATGGGAAGGATGCAGGTTCATAACATAACATAACACATGTTTGGGGTTATGGGACAATGTAATGTATATGAAGATGAAGATGATAAGATGAATGGTGGTGGGTGGTGTTGTAGATATATCGTATATGAAGGGAACATTTTTCAGAAAGAAGAAAAAAGAAAAAAGAAAAAACAAATAGCAGATTCCGCTTCTTTGTGTGGTAAGTTTCTGTTGCTAAAAGACTTTATTTATAGGTTTTGTTGGTTTGATCCTAAAAAGGGAAAAACTTTATGCCCCATTATTAAAGAATTATTCTTCAATTCCATTTTTAATTTTGTTGTTGAACGAATGCTACTCCAGTTTTTCTCTTCAATAAGCTTTCTTTAATGTTTCATCATGGTGCAATGCTGAACCCCTTGGATTAACACGGTATATTTGGAACAAAAATTGTCAAAAACATGTCTATCTGTCAAATGTCAATAGATGGAGGATTAGAAGTTTCAGCTCTCGGTAAATCAAAAACATGTAAACCTTTAAGTTGAATATAAGTAATTTTTCTTTATAAAAAGAGGATATAAAAATGTTTGATTATCATCATTATCATTATTAAGAAATATATTCAGGGTTAAAATGTTTGGGGTCAGATTTTAGATTTCCTTTAAAAGATACTTGAATAAAAGTAAAAATAACAGAATAATAAAAATAAATGTATTCACTATGATGATCAAATATGAAACCATATAGCACCCAACATTACCATGATTTTATTCTTACAAAATTAGTTTGGCTCGCAAAGATGGTCCAATAGTTTCGTTTTGTTGAAAGTTTAGTCCAATTTCCAATGAACTTTTTTATAATGACGGATTTGCCCCTTATTATTTATTTTCCAATTTTCTTTTATTACAACAATTAAAAAACAATTAAAAACAAAACAAAAATAATCTCTCTCTCTCTCACCTGATCACAAAAAATGAAGGTAAACAGCCGAGGCTACTACCCTCTTTCCACCCTCGACAACTAGCAGACCCCAAGCACCCCGATACTTGTTGTTGATGCCTTCATCGACTACAACCCCCCTCCTTCTCCGTTCTATTTAAATGGCCAACAACCCCATTTTCGTGTTTCCTTTTCTGACAAACAAAGCAGTCAAACAGTCCCTTGGATCGATGTTTATATATGTTGTCCTTCTTCTTCGTTTTCTATAACGAACACACTCTCAATTGTATATGTTGTTCTTCTTCTTCGTTTTCTATAATGAACGCATTCTCAATTGTGTGTGTTTTTATTCTTTTTCTAATAAAAGAACGAGAGACGACAACTCCCTCATTCCCTACCCTTCTTCTTTCTTCGAGACAGTTGAGCTCCGGTGGTGCTTTTCCGATTCATCACTGCCCAACAACCCCACCTCTTCTCTTGCTTCCGTTTTCCTCCTTTTCCTGTTGTTCGGATCCGTTAAGACATCCCCCAAATGTCGATTGTTTCTTTTTTGCCCCCTCCCTTCGAGTTTCACTGTAGAAGGTTCCTATCATTTGCCTTCACATTTTCCATTCCTGATCAGTGGAAGAGATGAAGAACGAAGACCCTTTCCTTTCCCAGCCGCACCGGAGCTCCCGTCGATCTGCCTTTCGTTCGAATCGATAGTGGGTTTTTGTTTCAGGTAAGGTTTTGTGTGTGGATTTTGTTTCAGATCTACCCTTCTCATATTCGTTTCAAATTTGGAACCAAACATACTGCTATAACATTCATCACCTCACAACTTTTGGATTGGGTTTATTTCAGATCCAAAATTAAGAACGAAGAACACCCATTGTGGATTTTGGATTGGGGATGGTGGTGGGTCACGACAGGGGGAGCGGAGGAGCTGCCACAGTCGACTGTGGTGGCTCTCTTCGCCGGAGAAGTGAGAAACGAGGGGAGATAGACGAGTTGGAGATGAAAGGGAGGTCGATGAATGGATTCTGACGACATCGGCTGTGGTGGGAGGTTGGGCTGTTGCAAAACGAGGGGAGGTGTTGCTCTTCACCGGCAATGGAGAAGAAGGAGGGAGTTTTTTTTCTGATGAGATACTAACAGAAGAGAGAGAGAGAGAGAGAGAGAGAGGGAGAGAGAGAGAGAGAGAGGAGAGAGAGAGAGAGAGAGAGAGAGATTTTCTTTTTATTATTATTATTTTTTTTATTTCTGTAATAAAAAAATTGAAAAAGTGAAAATACCAAGGTCAAATTCGTCATTATAAAAAGCTTTAAATTTTTTGGACTAAACTCGCAACAAAACGAAACTATTGGACCATTCTTGCGAGCCAAACCCATTTTGGACCAAAGTTGCTAGTTTTGACATACCACAGGGACCATTCTTGCAATTTTGTCTTTTATTCTCAATAACAAAATTACCACCCACTTCACTGAGAATGTCTCATGAACATGCAAAATAAATTTTTTCCATAAAATTGATCTCGCAAGATATTCATGATTTTCATTTAATACATGAAGACACTATGTCAAATCCATTCCTCACATTTTCTTTTATGTCCGACCAATACGGATTCACTAATTCGTGAAGTGTATCAAAAATGGTTAAATAGAACTAGTTTTACATATAATATTTATGCAATCTCTTTTCCGATCCAAAGATAATGTCGTTTTTTTTTCTAAGAATAAGCCGATGATGAAAACGGTGATTGATCCGATTTCACACAATACTTCCAAGTAGGGTTAAAGCCAATTTTTTTTTTTTTTTTTTCGAACAACTATCAATTCATATATTCACAATTCAAGCGGTTTGCTAGAATAGAAAAAACAATTACAAACATCCGATTTCACATAATATTTCCAAGTAGGGTTGAAGCCAAAAAAATAAATAAAAATTGAACAGCTATCAATCAATATATTCACAATTCAAGCAGTTTGCTAGAATAGAAAAAACAATTACAAATGATTCATTAACTAAACATTCCAAAATACATTGGATTTGGAAGCTCGATGTTTTAACCAATAAAAAGACTTTAAAACGATACTATCAAACAATAAACTTTTTATAATTTGAACCCCATCAAAAACTACTAAATTTTGAAATCTCCAAATCACCAAACACGAAGTAATCACGATCACTTCTAATCGCCTTCTCTTAGCATGTATCATGTTCTGATCATCCACCCAAGATAACCCTTCTTTTATAGAAGATGAAATCGGTAATGTCAATCCTCACCATCAAGCAACTAACTACCATACAACTACCACCACGTCACACTTATGACCAGTTGATTCACCCCTAACACCACAACTTGGACACAAAATAGACTGCAACTCTAAACATTTTTTAAACAGATTAAACCGTGTTGGTAATCTATCTAACATTAGTCATACAAATATATTTACCTTCTTGGGAAGTAACGTACACCACCTCGTATCAAGTTCACCACTCACCAATGAAACTTCATCTATATGTTTCCTTGTAGCCTTTACCAAGAATACCAATACTAAGTAGCCCTCAATCAATCCCATAAATTGATTTTATAATTCTAACCAAACAAGAATCAGCATTAGAGACAAATCTCCACCACCATTTTTGTAAGAGAGCATTATTAAAAATCGATAGGTTGCCAAAACCAAGACCGCTTTTTTCAAAACTAGCTAAATGTAGCGTCCCAAAACTTAAGACCAAAAATTTCAATTTTTATATTAATAAAACCATTATCCATAACAGTATTATAAAACCATAGTGAAATCAGAGTATATCAAATAACATCCAAAAACATCAGATTCATGTAAAATGCGGAACAATGTGGTGTGTGCATTGCAATCATCCTGAGCTCTTTCCTTTCGAACCAGAAATACCTGAAACATAAACTAAAAATCGTAAGCACAAAACTTAGTGAGTTCCCCAAAATACCACATATCATACATATCACACATATAATGGGCCCCGCCCGACATTATGCCGCGCCCAGCATCGAGCCCTGCTCGGAACAGATTTGCCAGTCATCAGGCCCCACTTGGCATCGGGCCCCGCCCGGTATACATACAAACACATAAACACATGGAAAAATCACAAAGATAAATAGCATACAATATAATCATCAGACCCCGTCTGACCTTTGGCCCCGCCCGGTAAACATATCAGAAAACATACATGTAGAGTCACACATACAACTAGCACCCTAATCATAATAAACCATGGGCCGACATTGGTGTCTTCGACCCGCTAAACACAGTGAGGAAACTCACCTCAAGCTACTGAATCTCTCAGATATGATCTCGGTCTGCTAATCCGGAAAAATCTCCGCGCTAACATCATCAAATAATATCCAATTAATAATTGGATCTCGACCCATAATCAAGAATCTAAATTACTTGTCCAACATCCAGGGTAAAAGACCATTTTACCCTATTTCCTACTTGGCCCAAAACCAAGGCCCGACCTATTTGCTCAAAAGGCCCAACTTCATAAATGACATCCCAAGGCCTAATATGGCCCAACTTTCTAATTGGGCCCAAAAACCATCATGGGCCTAATTCCAAGAAAGCCCATAGTCTATCCATGGCCCAAAGTCAGAAGTCCAATGGCCCAACAA